TCTAACGTTAGAGAGCGATGACCAGCCGACGCCTCGACGCCAAACGATCTTCTACCGTTAGAGAGCGATGACCAGCCGACGCCTCGACGCCAAACGATCTTCTACCGTTAGAGAGCGATGACCAGCCGACGCCTCGACGCCAAACGATCTTCTACCGTTAGAGAGCGATGACCAGCCGACGCCTCGACGCCAAACGATCTTCTAACGTTAGAGAGCGATGACCAGCCGACGCCTCGACGCCAAACGATCTTCTACCATTAGAGAGCGATGACCAGCCGACGCCTCGACGCTAAACAATCTTCTACCGTTAGAGAGCGATGACCGGCCGACGCCTCGACGCCAAACAATCTTTTACCGTTAGAGAGCGATGACCAGCCGACGCCAAACGATCTTCTACCGTTAGAGAGCGATGACCGGCCGACGCCTCAACGCCAAACGATCTTCTACCGTTAGAGAGCGATTACCAGCCGACGCCTCGACGCCAAACGATCTTCTACCGTTAGAGAGCGATTACCAGCCGACGCCAAACAATCTTCTACCGTTAGAGAGCGATGACCAGCCGACGCCTCGACACCAAACGATCTTCTACCATTAGAGAGCGATTACCAGCCGACGCCTCGACGCCAAACGATCTTCTACCGTTAGAGAGCGATTACCAGCCGACGCCAAACGATCTTCTACCGTTAGAGAGCGATGACCAGCCGACGCCTCAACACCAAACGATCTTCTACCGTTAGAGAGCGATGACCAGCCGACGCTAAACGATCTTCTACCGTTACAGAACCGACTCGTCAGCTGTTCAAAGTTCGCTGATTGTTGCCGCGCTACCAGAACAGTAACGGTTCTACTGGAGTCTTTCTATTTGATGAAGAGTCATCAGGAGTGTTTTTTATTTCTACATTCACTTTGTCATGTTTGGGCTCTGGGTCGGTTCTGGTTCCAGGTGGAGTACCGCACCATGTCCGGCATGCTGATCGACACCACGCCTGTGGATAAGCCGGACCATAAGATCGGACACCTCGACCCAGACACAGAGTACGAGATCAGCGTCCTGCTGACCCGGCCCCTGGACGGAGGGACGGGAAACCCCGGGCCGCCCCTCAGAGCCAAAACCAAGTGCGCAGGTGAGTGGACCGTGGCAGTTCCTGCCGACAGATGGTTCCTGGTCTCTTCAGGAGCCATTAATGCTAAGCTGTGCTAGCTCACCAGGAGGCTAATAGCTAGCAGGGAGCTCATTAAGGCAGCCTGCTACGTTAGCGCAGTGCTCATTAGCCCCCCCAACACACACACATTCAGTGTGCAAACAGCAAACACGATGTGATTAGCAATTAGCGGCTAATTAAGCAGGTGCAGCAGCAGCAGAACTCTGGAGGATTCAGTCTGATTGATGACCAACCGGTTCTGTTTGGACCCAACTGTTGGAGGTTTCCTCATCTGTCAGTAAAAACACACGCAGCGCTGCCCCCGTCTGAAATATTCAACAGCATCAATAAAACATATTTACAGAACATTAAAAATGCATTTAGAGCAAAAGATGTTTATGGACCAATTACTCTGACCCGCCGGGCCTGACAGAACCTCTGGATCCATGTTCTGCTCACTTCCTTTGTTCTTTCTCTGTCACTGGATCCGGAGGTTCTGCCCAGTCAGAACCATTTTATCCTGGTTCAGAATGTTTGGGTTCTCCAGGTGTTTGGATGTCATTCCTCAGAAGGCGCCATCAGGTTTGGACCCGTCTGGACCTGCTGCCATATGCTCCAATAAACCCAACAGCTTCTAACCCGCCCGCATGGATCCAGCTTCCAGCACAGAACCAGAACCTTCTGGACCATCTACTACGGTTCCTGAGATGGTTGTAGTTCTACAGGTTCTGATCCTTCATCCGTCTGAGATGATAAAAACAAGCAGAATGAGTGTCTCTGATCCACCCGATCCGGTCGGTTCCGATAGAACCCGAGTAGAACCCAGACAGACGAGGAAACAACATCTGCTGTTCTGACGACAGCAAATACAGAAATAAAGACCAAAAATATAAAATATGTCCAAACGTTACACCTAATTAAATTATTAAAAATCTATCAAATATATAGTTGATCGTTAAATATGATGAATTAAAGGAAAGTCTTTATTAATAAAATTATTACATTAATTTTTATTTAGGCTAAAATATTTGGAAACCCCTGAAATAAATAAAAGTGCCAAAAAATTAAATTTATCCTTCTTTGAATTTATGATCATTTATTTACCAACATGTGAAATGTTCTATTAAACATTTAATTAATTAAATTATTAAAACGTATAAATCATTTGAAAGGAACTTTGTTGTATAAAACGTTGGTTTCTCTGTGACGTCTCTAGTCTGTTTGGTTGCTTCTGTGTCACAGGTTGAAATGTTCTGGAAGCCCGGCTCTAGAACACTTGGACCTGATGGTTCTGAACCTGATCC